GACATTTTCTTAAGGCATATTGGAAGATGTGATTCATTAAACTCTGGAATGTTGCAGGACCATTTGTCAATCCAAATGGCATGACCAACCACTCATAGTGGCCATGATGTGTTCTAAAAGATGTTTTGTACATGTGTTCTGGCTGAACCAATATCTGATGGTAGCCTGATCTGAGATCCAATTTGGAAAAACATTTCGCTCCAAACAGTTCATCTAACAAGCTCATCCACTATTGGAATCGGAAAACAATCTTTGATTGTTAGAGCATTAAAAGCTCTATAATCAGTGCAGAACCTCCAAGTTCCATCTTTCTTTTTCACTAAAATAATTGGTGATGAGAATGGACTAGTGCTGGGTTGAATGATCCCTTGCTGCAGCATTTCCTGAACCATGTTCTCAATCTGATTTTTCTGACTATGAGGGTACTTGTAAGGTTTAACCTTAACAGGATTTGAGCCTTACAATAATGGTATAGTGTGATTTTGTGCTCTGACAGTGGGCAGAGATGATGGGGCTTGAAAAATATCTTTATAGGTGTGTAACATCACTGCAACTTCAGGTTCAGTATCAGTTGGCAACTCTATGAAAATATCTTCCTTCTCATGAGATTTCAACCATTGGATGGTGAAGAATTCTGCAATTGCATCAACAGTGTGAAGTCTCCTAAAATGATGGAGTTGAGCTGCAGCAGGTGTAACTGTAGTCTCTCATGTCAATGTCACAAATTTCCCATTTAAGAAAAACTTGAGTGTCAATGTTGAATAGTTAGCAACATAAAACGTGTGAACAAAACAAATGAGAATCTTGGCAAGAACATTCTCTTGATGAAATCTGAGTGAAATGAGAGAAGAATGAATGAAGAATGCAGAAATAAAGAAAAGGTATTTATAGCCATGTCATCTCCGTCCAGGTTAATATTTACGCCGCCACATAGGCAAGCCGGAGGAAATAGTACATTTGGACGGACGTATAAGGATTTAATGGACGTATAAGGATTCAAAGATCTAATTTCAATTGGTATTTTTCCCATTAGATTTTTGTGTCCCAAATACAAGTCTGTGAGGTTGGAGCAATATGTCAAATTTGGAGGAATCTCACCATGAAAAAAATTAATGTCGAGACGAAGTTGTTGCAAGTGTAGCAACCAACCTAATTCATGTGGAATTTTTCCAAAGAAACTGTTGTTTCTAAGGTTGAGACTTATCAGAAAAGTAATATTACCAATATGGGGAGATAAAGATCCATTTAACTGATATCCTTATAAGTTCAACTCTATAACTCTTTGATGCATGGGGCTGCATTTGATTCCAAACCACTTGCAGAAATGGATGGAAGAATTCCAAGATTCAAGAGTTGTATATGGATCATTGGTTATCGATGCTTTGAATTTAAGCAATGCCAAATGATCTGTTTGGCTTCCTAATGTCATTGATACGATTTTGTTAGGACCAAAGCATATTATGTACCTTTGAACTGCTTCAGTGAGGATTTCTAGTTCATCGAGAGAACCAACAGTATCAAAGAAATCATATGTAACTGTGATTATAATTGCAGTTTTAGCTATAAGCATTCAAACGTAAAAGTCGTGAGGGAGGGATGTTAAACTTGCAGCAACAACAAAGTAACAATAAATGCTTTTTTCTCTGTCGAATCCCATATTACTCAGACCACACTTTTCAACCCACCTACATATCAAAATCAAATGTAATCATCCACTAAGATTCGTATGAATAAGATTCAGATCAAACTAATTATTGAAAATTTTAGTATACCTCTTAAGTTCATTTTTGTATAGAAATTGCTTAAACTCAAAGTTTAGAGTGGCAAGTTATAGAAATTCATCATTATAGATGCATGAGACACTGCAAATGGGAACAAATAAGTAGAATGAACTTGTAATATATTCGAATTGATCTGAATAGAGATCCATACATGCATCATGTGAGTACCTGTGATTTGAATAGAGATCCATACATGCATCATGTGAGTACCTGTTATATGATGTTTTTCCTTTCCATAAAACATTAGCTTCTGTTTCTTCTATCCACACTCTTTGCTCTAAATGATCCAAGCGAGCAAACCATGAAAAACTCAACTCGTGCTCTATCTGAAACGCGAAATCATGAAAGACTTTAACTTAATATAGGTTTTCATAATAACATACAAAAAATTGAAGTTTAGATAATTTATTTTATGCATCATCCAAATACATAAATTAATTTTTATATATAAATAAAATCGGCATACATCAAATATTCAAATATGACAACATACACACACAAATTAGGATTGATCGAAAGGTTGCACAAATAAGACAAAAAGCGGGACTTAGTTCCCTTCAACTAATCAACGAGTTTATCCTTAAAGAAAATTATGATATATTAAAAAAATGAAAGGTTGCTTTCAAATGACATACATACATTGATAAATTAGTGTGAGGTTCGATAAGATGAGGTATTTGTTCGCACGTCCCTTAATAAACAAAGACCATAAATGTAGCGTAGCCAATCTGTCAATATGAACCCCAATTTTTAAAGCCTATTCCCCTAATCTCTCACCTCCTTCCCCCTTAAATTCCTAATTCGTCCACTTTGCCTTTCATTTTGTGTAATCTACCTAAACCCATTCCATGCTTAGATACTATAATAGCTTGACATAGTGGATACAATAGTTTGCGACGGTTAATAATATATGACATAGTGTCTTGGGTTTATTTTGGTTAGTTTGTGATTATGAGGCTAGAGTGTAACTTTTGTCTTTTAATGGCATCTGATTCTATTGCTGTAAATATTTGTATTTAAAGTGTTTTTTTTATAGGATTTGCTTTGAACTTTATTGTTGTATATATCTATGTCTATTTTTTGAAGAAATGGATAAGTCATGGATTACTAAGCCACAATCATCGATTGCATATCAGCAAGGAATAAAACAATTTATTGATTTTGCATTTAAAGGTGAAAAAGAAAATGACGTAGTAATATGCCCTTGTGCAAACACTGCGGTTTCAAAAAATCAAAGAGTAGGAGTGACATGTTCGACCACTTAATGTGATCACCATTTCCGCAGGGATACACCATGTGGATTCATCATGGAGAGTCCTTTGTTGCACCTATTAATATCTCCCCTAGTACTACTCAAAATATGGTTGAAGATACTATCATTTTCAAAGATCCTATTCATAACATGATCAATGGTGCATTTGGAGTTGATATGTATCATGCTAATGAAATACCATCTGCGTCAAATTTAGAGATTGGCCAAGAAGATTATGTGATGCTAAGTGCAACTCAGGAAAGAAACGAAGCCAAGGAGTACTATGAATTGATTAGAGAAGGAGAACAACCTTTGTATGAAGGGTGTAGACGATATTCAAGACTATCTTTTTTGGTTAAGTTGTACCATATAAAGTGTTTATGTGGATTGAGTGAGAAGGCAATGACAATGATTTTAGAGTTAATTAAAGATGCATTTGAATATGCAAACATTCCAGGTTCGTTCCATGAAGCCAAGAAATCAATCACAAAACTTGGTTTGAATTATGTAAAGATACCTGCATGTCCAAATGGTTGTATGCTTTATTGGGGAGAAGATGAAGAAAGGGAGACTTGCAAAAATTTCAATACTTCAAAATGGAAAAAAAAATGAAGCGGCCTTTGTTAACAAGAAAAAGAAAAAAATTCATGCCAAGGTTCTTCGTTATTTTCCATTAAAACCTCGACTACAGAGATTATTTTTGTCATCAAAGACGGCCGAGGATATGAGATGGCACGCAACAGATGCTAACAGCGATGGAATGTTGAGGCATCATAGAGATTCAGAAGCTTGGAAGAAATTTGACTTGACACATACTTGGTTTTCATCAGATCCGCGAAATGTGCGTCTTGCATTGGCTAGTGATGGTTTTAATCCTTTTGGTGTGATGAGTGCAAACAATAGTATTTGGCCAATTGTTCTCATTCCATATAACACTCCTCCATGGGTTTGCATGAAACAAACATCATTTATAATGTCAATGATGATTCCCAGAAAAGAAGCACCAAGAAATAACATTGATGTCTACTTACAACCCTTAGTCAAAGAGCTGAAAGAGTTATGGACAAATGGTATGGATACATACGATTCTTTCAAGAAAGAGATGTTCAAGTTGCATGCAAATTTGATGTGGAAGATTAGTGACTTTCCAGGTATGGGCGCACTTTCTGGGTGGAACACATACACAGGGCTTGCTTGCCCATCGTGTAACTTTCAAACTACACCTCTCCATCTTAAAGCTAGCCATAAAGGGGGTTTTATGGGTCATCGTCGTTTCCTTGATCGGAGACACAGATTTAGATTGAACAGGATCCGCTTTAATGGTGAACAAGAAATACGGAGTCCACCGAGAACATTATCTGGACATGAAGTTTTTGAACAGGTTAAAGATATTGAAGTCATCTTTGGTAAAAAGCCAGTGAAAGAAAAATCGCTAAAAAGAACATTTGAGGGACAACCTATAGAAGGTGATAGTACACAGTGTGATCCTACACTAGGTCATCCTCAACAATGGAGAAAAAAGAGCATATTTTTTGAACTTCCGTATTGGAAGGATAATCTTTTGCGCCATAATCTTGATCCAATGCATATTGAGAAAAATGTGTGTGATAATGTCCTATTTACTTTACTAAATGATAGGCAAAAGAGTAAAGACAATTCTAAAGCTAGAGATGACCTTCAAAACATGGGTATAAGACCTGATCTTTGGCCCGATGAAAATGGTAGAATTTCTCCGACAACCTTTAGTTTAATGGGTAAAGATAAAAGGAATTTTTTAACAACTTTAAGGAATATTAGGGTGCCTGATGGTTATTCGAGCAACATTTCTAGATGCATTGACTTAGTAAATCTCAAGGTGAATGGAATGATGAAGAGTCATGATTGTCATATATTAATGGAACAACTCCTACCATTAGCCATTCGCAACACATTACCACATGGAAATGTTATTTCCTCCCTCGTTCTTCATGGTTATGGTTCACTTGGTTGTTCACCTTGTTGAAGAAGTTAAACTTGGAGGTCCTGTTCATTATCGATGGATGTATCTTGTTGAAAGGTAAACTATGTGATTTTGTTTTATTGTTACTAACTTAGAAAGTAGAAAGATTTTTTTAACCGATAGTATTGTGGTTCAATAATAGATATTTGGGAAAACTTAAATTGTATGTACGTAATAAGGCAAAACCAGAAGGGTCTATTGCAGAAGGATACCGTTTTGAAGAGATTCTTACATTTTGTTCAAGATATCTAGAAAATATTGAAACTAGATGGAATCAACCTGGACGTGTAGATGATGACCCTATTGGTGATATCCAAACAGGATCACGTGTAGCCGAATTATTTCCTATATTTGGAAAACCCGTGGGTGGATCTTCTTATTACACCCTAACACCAATTGAAAAGTTGCAGGCTCATAGACACATTTTAACGAATTTTCCAATAGTTGACGACTATCTAAAGTAAGTAGTTTTATGCCATATAAGTAGTTTCATTTGCACTATTAATATTTTTTTTACATCTAATATCAAATAGGCAGTTCCGAAGTATTACTCAGAATCAAATGAAGCGCAGTCAAAGAAGTGCTGCTGAGATAGATAAGAAGGTTCATAGAGAATTTGCTCACTGGTTCCGTAATCGTGTGAGTTTTTGTACAAAAATAGATGTTTTAATTGAATTGGATTTTAATAATAACAAGACTAATTGGATGTTGTATCGTGTATAGATTTGCAACAATCTTGACAACATTCATGGACCAGATAAAGATGCTCTCATTAGCCTTGCTTATGGCCCTTTTGATAAAGTTAAAAGATTTACTGCATTCAATGTCAATGGATTCAAATTTCAAACATTGGAACGGGATAATCTTTTAAAAACTCAAAATAGTGGCGTTTTTGGCTTGTTTGGGACGTGAAGTTATTCAAGCAATAGTGATACCCAAATGAGATTTGGAGGGGTCCCTTACTATGGAAGATTGGTAGACATTACTGTGCTTTCCTACGATGGCTTCACAGTGGCTGTGTTTAAATGTGAAAGGGCTAATACCATAAACCCAAGAGGCATTAAGATAGATAAGTTGGGTTTTACTTCTATAAACTTTACAAAACTACTACATTCTGGGGAACATGAAGATAATGAGTCGTACATTCAAGCGTCAGAAGCTCAGATGTTTTTTTTATGTGGATGATGAGAATGAACAAGGGTGGAGCATACCTGTTCATTTGAAGCCAAGAGACTTGTATGACATGGGTGGAAATGATGAAATTATGTCACCCATTGAGCCATATCCATCACAAAATTTGGAACAAATTTTTTTGAATGATGATATTGGAACTTCATCAGCAAATGATAACAATAATTAACATATAGTTTTTTATTGATAAGAAATTTAGTTTGTTGGTATAATTAATATTATTGTGTGAGACTTATGGTTTTTGTTTTTTATCCCTAGTTAATGTATGAGATGACATTATTACTTTATGCTTTTTGTTGTTTATCCATAATTAATGCGTGAGATGACATTACTACTCTATATTTTATTGCATAAATTATCCTTTTAAGTTATTGTGTTTGCGTTATGTTTATTAAATTTATAGTCACTAATATAAAATTTTGATGTTTACTATTATTAGTGTACTGTCTTTTTAATACATATACTTGCAGTCGAAGCCTTTTGTGAGACAATGATTTCATCATATGAGGAAATTCGCCTCAAAAGGATTGTAGAGAATAAGAAAAAGCTAGAGGCTCTCAATCTTCCAAAGCTTTCTCAATCCCTTCACAAAACATCTTCGTCTTCTTCCAAACCATCACCGGTTAGTAATAAATTCTCAATACTAGTCTATAAAAATTAATTGTATTAATTGTTGATTGATATTCACCGATGTATTTTATTTAGTCTGTGAAGGGTCGTCCGAGGTTTGTACAACCTAGAGAGATTGAAGTAAACAAGAAGCGCCTACGTTCAACTACAATGTGCAAAACATCAACAATCCATCCGCCAATCAAAACTACAATAACTCTTCCGCCAATCCAAACTAAAATTACCCCTCTGCCAATTGAAACTACAATAACCCATTTGCCAATCCAAACTGCAAAAGATGTTGTGGTAGAAGATGAGGATGAAGATGATGTGGTAGGAGATGAGATCGAAGATGATGTGGTAGGAGATGAGGCTGAAGATGTTGTGGTAGGAGATGAGGCTGAAGATATTGTGGTAAAAGATGTGACTGAAGATGTTGTAAAAGTGGCTAAATCTGTGTATTGGGATGTAAATGTCATTAGTAAGTAATTTAAGGTTAAAGTATTTGTAAATAATTTAATTTTTTTTACATAGTTGAGTTATGACATTAATTTATTTACTTGTTTATGTGATAGATGAGGAAGGTTATGTTTCAAACATACGTTTATGTGTGAAAGACTTGGTTGCAAAATCAAAGTCTGATGGAACATGGATAATACTTGAATTTGATAAGGATCATTGTGCAATATGACCAGCTTCTGGTTTGTTAGCAGGGTATTTGGGTATAATTATTATAATGTTTAAAGACTTTCCCATAATGTTTGAGAGTTGGAAGGATATTCCAGCGGATACAAAAACAAAGTTTTATGATTCAAAGATAAAGGTGTCATTGTTGCACCCCAAAATTTGCCCAACTCTTCTTTACCTAGCTTGTGTTTCATTTCATTCACATTAGCATTATCATTTGCATTTCATTGACATGTGTGTAGGAGATCAAGAGGTATGATTACCAATCAAGAGCTACACAATACCTTGAAGCTAGTTAAGAAGCTTGTTCAAGTGTTCAAGGGTTGATATCCTTGTCAGAGAAGTTAAAAGATCCCCAGAGAGAGTGGTTGAAACCAAGGGTGTGTGCCTCCTAACTTGAGAGTTGTGGGAGCTCCTCAGATGATTCTGAAGCCATGAATATGGACTTGAATCCTTGAGAGAGCTTATGAGATGTCTTGAAAGCCATCATGAAGCCTAGATAGGTCATTTTGCAAGATTAAGAAGACTCAGCCATGAGTGGTGCAGCTAGGGTTTGACTGGGTCAACCCTAAGTCAACTGAGGATTTGAAAGGGATTGAGACCTAATTCAAGAACCATGTGATCATGGATTTATGCATTGAGATGCCATAAGGATTATTCCAAGGTCAACTCATCATGATTGAAGAGTTTGAGAAGTTTCAAGCTAGGGTTTCTAAGGCTTGACAGTGTAAAATCCCCTAGTTTGACCCCTATCTTCAAGGCAGTTTAGCTCAAGATGTGATTATTATCTCATCTTTCCCCCAACATGAATGTTGTAGAGCTTGATCTTAGCTTTAATTTTAATGCTAAAAGTCCTTGATAGGATTTGTAGAACTCAAGTTATGACTTTGGCAAGTTACAGGTCATCTGAGGTATGTGAACTTGGGGGCTTGAAAGTTACCCAACTCTCATCAAACTTTTGCCCTAGAAGGATGATTCCTATGGATTTTTGGTCAACATGAATGTTGTTCCTTATCCTCTTAGCTTTCTAGAGAGTACTAGAAGTCCTTGATGGGGTTTGTAGAACTCAAGTTATGGCTTTGACAAGTCAATGGCATTTTGGTTATTTGGAGATTACAGGTCATTTCAATCATAAGGCCATAACTCCTATTTCCAAGCTTCAAATGGAAAAATGTTCAACATCAAACGTGTTCAAAATGATGTTTTAAGGCTATTAAAGAGGTCATGAGATGATGGGAATGCTTGTAGCTCAAAGTTGCAAAAATGACCTAAAATAAGGGCATAAGTTAAATAAACCAAAGTTGGAAATTGATATTTTCAATCTACACATCCAAACCATGGCATGTAATATATCATTTTGACTCTAGAAAACATTTTAAGAACATTGGTTTAGCCACATTTTTGAGTTGAGGTCTAATTTGTGGACTTGCTTTGAAAGGTGATTACTTACATCATAAGTAACATGTGCAAAACCTATAATCAAGGCATAACCAAGGTCCTTTGCAAGCTGAACACTTTCAAAATGTCACTAGGGGAGAAATTGGAAGTGAATGAGGTTAGTTTCAAGCTGTTTGCAGAACTATGCATAACATGGCATATGGTTGAAAATCTCATGACATGAGAGATTGAAACTCTCATTAGAAGGATCTAGAGGGTTCTATATCACCCACAGATCATCTATATATTGAGTAGAGGTGATCTAATGCAAGGGTTGGTGATGATTGAAGGAAAGAGCATAGATTGAGATTGAAAGTGCATAGCTTGCAACTGAATTCGGTTTCACCATTTTCTTCACTTTCCATCTATTTTCTTGATTGCAACTTCTTCCATGGATGCTAGGGATTGAATCCAGATCATAATCCAAGAGAATTTGTGGCTGAATCGTGTATGAGCAATTGAATTTTTCCACCTGCAACTCACCATCGGGTTTCAAGATTCAGGAGCTTTCAACCAGTTCTATTGCATACAGAAGCAAGGAAAGGGTCCATTGATCGTGTCTGGAAGGTTGTAGAGCTTGATTTGAAGGATTAATGCATCTGTTCGTCAAGAATTTTCAGGTTAGTAACTTTCTTCCTCCAGCATGAATTAGGTAGAATCAAGATGAATTAGGGTGTTAAATGCATTGTAGAACGGTGTAGGATTGATTTCAGGCCATTAATTTGAGAATTAGTGACCAATCTAGGGTGTTACCATTTTTGGTTGAGATTTGGTTATGGTGAATCTTGAGGTTTCAGAGAGAATTAAAGGCATGAACGAATTCGTGAGGGAATTTGGGACATGTTTCATTAAGGGATCGTGGCCTATAGTGGACTCTAGGTTGAACTAGGGTTGTGGAATGGTGACCGGAGCACCACCGGTGGTGGCCGGAGCTGCGCGCGAAGTTCAGAGGTTCAAAAGGTAGAAGATGACTCTAGAGCCATTGGATGTGGTGAGACCTTTGACTAGAGGAGTGATCCAACGACCACGTTTTAACTTCAAGTTGTGAAGGATCTGAATTAATGAAACGCATCGTTTCACTTAAGTGCTGATGCTGGGCTTAGTGAATTGGCTGATATTCACACCCCCCTGAAGGCCCAATCCATTATTTGAACTGATTCTGGTTACTATCTGCACCGTGCATTTACCTTTTTATTTGGATTTCCTTTTATTTTTCCATTTTTGTTTATGGTTCTTGGAAAAATCATATAAAATTGAAAATTGATCCAATTAATCCCATTCTTTTTGCATTATACTCATGATTGAGTCTAGTATTTTTTAGGAAAAAAATATTTTCATTTCATGCATTTTCTGATTTTATGAGAATTTTATATTTTAATTGATATTAAAATGGTTATGTTTGACACCTAATTTTGTGGAATTTTGTGTGATCATGTGGTGATGATTTTGATCCTAATTTTTTGTGTGTGATTAGGTTAGACATGTATGCTACCATAGCATTTTTCTCACATTTTTGTGATGAAAATAGGTGTGGTTTCTAGATTGAGCTTTAGGTGCTTCCTTTTAGGGTTTAGATTTAGTACCTTGTGGTGTAAAATTTATTTCTAGGTCTTATTTGATGATTTGATCTATGGAATTAATATGGTAGAGTCATGATTGACCTAGGTTCCCATAGTTATTTTTGTAGGATTTTACAATTGGTTTTAGTATTTTAGTTAGGATTAACTTTAGTACTAGGTTTTAGGTGATCCTAACTTACTAACTCAAATAGATTAACTTCTTTAATCCCCTTAGACTAGGGTTTTGCTTTGTTTGCCTTTGGTTGAGATTGAAGACAAGTTGAAGACAAGGTGAGGATGCTTGAAGTTGCTTGAAGTTGCTTGGAGCTAGGAGTTGCTTGTGCCTGAAGGTGTCTGATGAAGATTTAGGAGGTAGGAGCCATAGGGAGAGCCTTATAACTAGAATGATTTCTTTCACAAATATGGAAA